CTTGAATACAGGCCAAGAGCATGCAACTGTGCTTTCAACATCACGCTGGGGCACTGTTTAACGCCCTCCCCCCAAGAATTAATAATCTAGGCGATATACCTTTGTTGGAGTCTGCTATTAACGAAAAGCTTAGACTTTCTGAAGTTGCATGTTAACTTGTGAATATTGTTGGGTAGAGATGCGGATAATTCCTGTTTGGGTTCTCTTTTCCAAAGGACAGCAAGCACTCTGCCATTGAAGCTGGCCATCTTATTCTAACATTTTGCTTTTGAAGTACCTATACATGCCCATTCCTCAAAATGCTCTTTAACAAGATTTACCATCTTGCTGGTTCTCTCATGAATGAACTAATACATCTCTGACATGTCTTCACCCTATATTTCCATGACAGCCATGTTTTTAGCTTTCTTAAAATTCTATTTCTTGCTATATCTATAATCTAGTGTTTTTTCCTCCATAATAGCACCTTTAGGGGAAACGTCCACACAGCTAGTCAGGTCTGCCTCATCCAACCTGCCAAACCGAGTACCTTCACATGAGTGCTGCAGGCAGCTGGCTCCATGCCAGGAATGTGAGGGCGCTGGGAGGCTCTCTCCTCACTGACCCGGCATTTCTACCTCTCCAGTCCCCAGGATTCGTCATATATTCATCCTCTCGAGTCAACAGGCTGCTCTTCGCAGATGAGACGGCCAGCCCACCACCCAACAAGGAAGGGGCTTTGAACCCGGTTCCTAGTGCTGCTGGTGGGCGGGACTGATGTCTGAGCTGGCTGACAGGGAATGACCTACACTTCCCCACCCAGGTTTGCAAATGACACCCAGTTTTGTGAGGTGACAGAACTGCTGAGGGGAGCAGGCTCGGGTCCTGCCTGGGACATTTTCTCTCTGGGTGAAACCAACTGACCCTCAAGAGACCAAACCCATGCCTGACTTCATCAGCACCTCACTCCAGCTCAGAAATTAACTGCCCCAATCTGCCTCAAGAAGAAACACAAGAAAGCAAGCAGTTTAATGGATTCGGAGAAGAAGGCCTTCATTTTACACACTTAACAGGTCACTGACAACTTTTCACACTTTATTGAGAGAACCGTCTGAGCCATTAGCAGGTCATTCGACCCACTCTCTTTAAAACCTCTCTGAGCTCAGAAAACAGCTTTAATAGCTCCGAGAATAGACGTGATCTGGGATTTTAGCTGGACCGCTGTCTGCCAGGCAGGTCCGCTGGCTGCAGGCGCTTCCCAGCAGTTAGGGTCTTGCCAGGGAGCTTCAAGCTCTGCACATTTTGAAGGACTTTCTTCTGCCCAAGTAGCCCCTGGTGCTCCATTTCTGTACTGTGTATTCAGCATTTACTACACATGCCGGGAACTGTGCTGCATACTCTGCAGGGTATGGGGTGTGGAGATTCTGTCCTCAAGGGTCTTCCTGTCCAGTGGGAGATGTAACACATAGATCTAAATAGCTATCATTTAGGGTAGAAAGTGATCAATAATTCACAAATATGATGAATTCTGGTGCCAGTTAATGTGCACTAGGCCTACAGTTGAGAGCAAGACAGACTGGCTTGTCCCGAGAAGACGTGCAACAAGCATTTGTTGAAGAAGGGAAACCAACAGATGTTCAGCACCTACTATGGGCCAGGCTGGGTCCCAGCATTTTCTCGCTTAATTTCTTCCTCACAAGGACTCCCTTTGGCAGATGATCTTATTCCCAATTTTAACAAACAGGAAAAGAGGGGCTCAGAGATGTTAGGTGACTTTCCAGAGGTCACTCAGATGGTGAATAGCAAAGATAAGATTCAAACGTAAAACAATTTGACTTAAAAGATCCTGCTCTTTCAACCTCACTACATTGACTATTAGCATTTTAGGGCATACCTTCCTTCTGTGCTGTTGTGACTGATTCATTTCCAAATTGAGGAGCCTCACAGGACACAGGTTGGCAAGCCATAAGGCACCCACTGCTAGTCCAAGATAAGGACTCACAAAGCCATTTGTTCGTCCCACAACGTGTGGTTAACGCTGGGATCTGTCTCTGGCTGTCCCTTGATGTTCTCTGGCATCAACTGTGTGATCCACTTATCTTCCTTCTGATAAAATGGGAGAATAAAAGAGCAGGGAAGAGGGAATAAAAGTGATTTCCAGAGATAGAGGCACAAGCTCTGCCCTTTCCTTTAGGATTCCTCCAGCAGGGCTGGCCCCACACAAGACAGAGTAGACGGCAACACACTGCAAAGCTGAAAGCCAACATGGCTTCCACCCCAAAAATGTCATCCTCCCTCCTCCCAACATTTTGCCTTAAACCAAGAAGATTATTTTAATTCCTTCTCTTTCACTTTCTTTGGGAAAAAGAAGAATTCAGGACTTTCATAGTTTAAAAAAGCCTTCAGAATAAAGTCTAAATTATTGAGTTGTGGGCCGGCCCTGTGGCTTGGTGGTTAAGTGCGTGCGCTGCGATGCTGGCGGCCCGGGTTCGGATCCCGGGTGCGCATCGAGGCACCACTTCTCTGTCCATCCTGGGGCCGAGTCCCACATGCAGAGGCTGGAGGGGTGTGCAGCTATGACATACAGCTATCTACTGGGGCTTTGGGGGCAAAAAATAAAATAAATAAAATCTTTAAAAAAAAAAAAAAATTATTGAGTTGTGGCAGCCCAACCCTGCATGCCCACCTCTTCTGCACCATCTCCCCCAGTGCACCCTGGGTAACTCTTGGCCATCTTTGGGACTCAGCTCAGACATCCCCTCCAGAAAGCCGTCTCTGACCATGCTTCAGCAGTACGTGTGCACACACGCAGTAGTGTCCACGCTGCATTCCCACACCCCACCAGCATGCACACACATGTGCACATAAGCACACATGCACAGCAATGCCCCTACCGCGGGCTCCCACACCACTCCATGCTGCCCCAGCATAGCATTTACTGCACTACTTCGTGCGCAGGCTTTGCCAGTAAACCCCTCATCTCCACGCTGCACGAAGGGAGGAATTGTATCTGGTCTTTCTACTCCTAACACTAAGCACAATCCAAGAACCCAATAAACCGTTGAGGAAGGAAAGGATAGAGAGAAGAGAAGGCTGTACCCAGACTCTCAGCCCACAGCCCAAACTTCCTGAGCTGGCATTTGCCTCAGGCCTGGTAAAATTCCTTGGAATCAGAGCTGCCAAGGGAGAAAATGGCAAGGCCTGAGGAAAGGCAGGCTGGAGGGAATGGTTGTTCTCTGAGAAAACCCAAGCAGAAGCCTCAGGGCTCCAGTGACAAAGGTCAAAGCCATTGCTTAAGAATATTTGCAGTGCCCAGTGGGGCCGTGAAGATGACTTGGCTTCTAATGCTCACTCCACAGATGGACTTGGGCCTGGAGGTCATGGGACGGTCCAAGGGGGTCTCAGAAACAGCTGCCCTGACCTACATGTACTGGGCTCGCTAGGCAGGAAATTCCATGTTGTAATGGCTGGATTTCTTCCCTTCATTCCTGATCCGTGACTAGGTAGTGAATGGGTCATTAAAGAAACCATTTAGGCAGATTTCAGGAACATCTGACCAGGCTTGAAGTGTGCAGGAAGAGGAAAATAGAACAGACGAAGCTCTGGACCGCGCAGTCTCGCCTTCATTTCCATTGCTGGCCTGATGTAGGAAGTAAAAATGTTTAAATGCCCCTCTTCTGTCAGCACTGTCACCAGGGTTGGATGGAGATGGGTTCACTACTTAAAAATACACATTTAAAACCTCATCTGAGTGGCTGCAGCCATGTTATCAAGCTGAACACATGTTGATCTGAGTAGATTAGAGAAATTGTTACTGGTGTCTAGGGAGGGAGTGCTTTTCAAAGAATGAGCCATTAGGAAGTACTTTGCATCCATGTAGCCCATGAACCTGAAGACAAATAAGAGTAAAATCTGTACTGAATCAGCAGCTCTGAGCAGCAGACTGCAGAATATGGCTGGCATATGTTAGATAAAAGGTTATAAAAGGTTGCCATTCGATTTATCTTTCATTTCCTTCACAGCTAATGGCAGGAGGAATCAAAAACCATCTTTACATTGCTTTTGCACATTTTTTTAATCGACTAGGAAAAATCACATTCTCCTTCATATTTTCCTTCCTTTTTCCAAAAAGAGATCAAATTTCTCTGGAAATTTAAATTTGCTCTTTCCATTCACCAAGAGAATTGTATTACTCTTGCATTCGATCTGTTCAATCTCAGTTCAGTTTCAAGTTGAAACTTTATTTCATTTCCAGACCTATACAGAGTGGTTGGTATCCTTCTGTTACTCCTCACTTTTGGACACAATTGCTTGGCAAAGCAGTAAGTCTGCTGGGTAACTCAAGCTCTCTACTCTTCACTCAGCATACACCCTCTAGGTATGTGAAACCAAACCCACGCAACATCCCCTTCTGCAACTAAGGTTCAAAACTGGAATGAATCAGTTGAGCTAAAACACAGACATATTTAACAAAAAAACTTTTTAAAATAAATGTTAAGCCCTTCTCATTTCATTATTAGCTTTGCCTTGTAGACTATAAAATATGCAGGTAGGTTAATATCCCTTGTTTTCAGGGTTTCATTAACATCTCGAAGACAGATAAAAGCAGAGATTTCTAACAGAGAAGTTGCTTACATAATTCTGTATCCTGAAAAGTGGCTCAAACCGAAAAAAAGAAGAAAATAACCTAAGCAAGAAAGGGTCCAGCATCCTTTTCCTTCAGGATCTTGATATTATAGGGCCTAGTAAGGATCAATGAGCAGTCTGCAGAGTGCCCTAGTGGCGCCAACAATATGTATCTCAGTCGAGAAATTTGGACCTGGCTCAGCCCATCTGCTCTCACTACAGCCCAAGGTTGCCTTTCATTTAGAAATCATGCTGTCAACTTGGTTTAGAATATACATGGGTGAGGCATATGCTTATCCTTGATGCCCAGGGAGATGTTGGCATGGAGAAATGTGAAGGCTCCTGATTGAAGCTTCCATTTATGGACTCTTCTCTTCCCTTCTCTTCTCCCCTAGTTACTGTGACAGTGGGAGGCAAGCAACACTTGCTCGGACTGTATGACACCGCAGGACAGGTACATTTTTATTATCTTGATTCATTAAGGGGTTGGGAGGGGGGAGAATGGTCCATTTGGCCAAGCGTATGGGGACTAATAGTACAAATATTATCTCTTATGATCCTTTGGGGTGAATTTATTATCTACCTAAATGACAGCCAAAATATTCTTAATATTTTTAAAATATTTATAATTACAAAAAACTAAATTATTACATGATTCAAGGTGTTAATAGGCAAATAATGATTCATTCATTGGTTGATGACTATCAATAACCAAAATAACATATTTGGCCAAGAGTTTCAATGTCCTCCCATCCATACCAATTCCAGATCCATGATTACTGAGTCAATTTCATAAATTTTCGTTTCACCCATTAGTTTTTTTCATGTTGTATTCTTTGCCCACCTTTTATTTGAATTGCCTAACAAGCTGTGGAAATGTCCAAAAAGAGATAGAGGATGGGTTGTGGGGGGCAGGAAGAAGACAGATTAAGTGTTGGAAGGATCCTGGATGTTTTCCAAAATGAGGGTCAACCCTTGAATGACTGAGGGCTGACTCTAAATTCTCTAAGATTCTTGAAATATTCTCACCCTGTCAGAAACGTTTCTTCAAGTTGGAGGACCTGGCCAACCAATAATGTAAGCCAATGGACTGGAACCCTCAACACTTAATCAGTCAGCACACACTCCACTTGGGTGAAATGCCACCTTGCCTTTCTTTCCTCGCATGCCACACTCCACTAGGAAAAGTTTCTGACGTTACAAGTTCGTGGGTTGGAGGGGAAGTAGTTAAGCAATTGATGGCTGTGGCCCAATTTCTTTGAGAGAGCTTTTGTTACCATATGTCCTAGCTCATTTATTTAGGTCAAAATCAGCAGGTTGTTCAGTCTGTCCAAATTCATACATCTTAAGTCCTTTGGAGTGAACGTTTGACCATGCTCTGTCCCACTGTGAATTTCCTGGTAATTGTTATTTGTAGTTATGCATTTGTCTAGGCCTTTTTTCACAATTATCTGGAGATATGTCTTTTTGCTCAACCTGAAAGCTCTATGCTAGAAAAAAAAATAATAAATAGAATTCTCTTGGGGATTTCTGTGTGCATTTGCAAGAACCACTGTATAAATGTCTGCAGGACATCAAAGGCTGGTATTGGACAGGCCAGGCAGTGGAGAACTTGCAAGGCTAGCACCAGACTCAAGGCTCCTAAGAGCACCCAGTTTCCCCTCACTGGCAGATGGCTGTTTTGGCCAGCTACTCTCTGGAAGCGGGGAGTGGAGGAAACCTCTCACATCAGTACCAAGACACATGACTAGGAAAGAATGCCCCTAGATGCCCAAATGGGAAAATTGGATTGGCTCCTCTGAGCTAAGGTACAAGGGCCTCAGTGCAGCTCAAGCTTGACCCTCCTCCACCAGAAAGCATCCCAGCAATAGAAGTACACTGCCCTTTGAGCTGGAGTTGCCTACTCTCATTCAATCACATAGTCATTGGGGTGTCCCCATTCATCAGGACTCACAGCCTGAAAGAGAGAGGAGTTTACACCCTTCTCCTCCACAGTCAAATTTTATGAATATAATTCAGTTTGAAAAGGTCAATACAGCAAGGATTATTGCCTGACTCTGAAGCCTCTCTCTGTTTCCCTTGCCTTCTAAAAAAGCCCTCTGGGGCCGGCCTGGTGGCTTAGCGGTTAAGTGCACGCGCTCCACTACTGGTGGCCTGAGTTTGGATCCTGGGCGCGCACCGACGCACCGCTTCTCTGGCCATGCTGAGGCCGTGTCCCACATACAGCAACTAGAAGGATGTGCAGCTATGACATACAACTATCTACTGGGGCTTTGGGGAAAAAAAAGGAGGAGGCTTGGCAATAGATGTTAGCTCAGAGCCGGTCTTCCTCAGCAAAAAGAGGAGGATTAGCACGGATGTTAGCTCAGGACTGATCTTCCTCACAAATAAATAAATAAAGCCCTCTGTGCCCCTCATTCCCATCCAGGCCTCCCCTCTTCTATAGCAATCCACTACAATTGTCAGCTTCTGTGCATTAATTGCCCCCAGAACAACCTCTCCAGGCCTTCTTTTAATTTCAAATCCAATAAAACTGCTTAAAAGCTCTTGTAGAGCTTAATTATTCTTTCCACTGCTCTGTCCTTTTTAGAAAAATTTTAAATTATACTAGTATAGAAGTTGAAATTCTAAGGCAGTGTAAAAACATCTTTAAACTCCAAATTGAAGAAAGCAGAATGACCCAAACCTCTGACACAGGAGAAAGTGATGTGCACTGATCAAGTTTAACAACAAATGGGTTATTGATATTTCTCCAGCCTAACTTTCACTTGAACACTTTCCACCAGCTACTTTGAAAGCCCCGAGGTAGATAAGGTTCACAGGGGAACGTAAAGCATGGCAGAAAGAAATCAGAATACATCTTAAGCTTCCTTCTAGGACTAAAATTCTATGATTAGGACCTTAAAGAGATGACTTCAAGAATGAGTACAAGAACTGGAGTAACTAAGCAAAACTATTTGAGGGTAGACCCCAGGGACAACTTTCAGCAGTGAAGGATTGTTAAATATTGGAACAAGTTACACTAAAGGATGACATGTAATTCGTTGTGTAGAACAGTGGTTCTCAAACTTAAGCAGGGATCAGAATCACCTACAGGGCTTGTTAAAACCCAGCCACTGGGCCACACCACCCCCAGAGTTTCTGATTCTACAGGTCTGGGACGAGGCCCAAGAATTTGCTTTTCTAACAGGTTGCCTGGTAATGCTGCTGCTGGTCTGTACACCACACTTTGAGAACCAGTGGTCTAGAACCTTGCCACTCAAAGTGTGGTCCACTGAACAGCAGCAGCAGCATCCCCAGGGAACTTATTAGAAATGCAGAATCTCAGGCCCCATCCCCAGCTTACTGAATCTGAAAATTCATTTTAAGAAGATCTCCAGGTGATTCGTATGCACATTAAAGTGTGAGAATCACTACTCTAGAAGTCTTTGGTGACTGAAGCATTGTTCCCAACATTTGGAGGAGGCAGTGGAAAAAGACCATTACCAGAGATGATTCCCTTGGTTCTACAGCTCTGCCAATAAGGCTTTGTAACAAATTTAATTTAGAAACATTGTCTCAAAATTCCATTCCCAGCCTCAGGTAGGACAATCCAGCCTCTTCAGTTCTATTCCAGCAAATGTTGCTGAGGTCACATGGCTAACAAACATCTATAACAAATCCAAAAATGCTCATTTGGCCAGACTTACTAACGAGAGAGAGAGCTGATCTCAAAAACCAACGGATTAACCCCTGAACCACAAAAAGGAAATAAGTCTCCGAACCTGGCTACAGAGTTCCATCTTGCTGTGAATAATTAGATTTTCTCACATGAACACACCAACGAGCAGTGCCCCTTGCCTTTATCTTGAGCTAACTCTGGGTCAGAGTTGACAAAAACAACTTCAAGAAGCATGTGTGTCCTGAAATGTAAAGTGAGAGGAACTCATCATTTCTACCCTCAAAGTCAGCCCTGGACAAAACCATTTGACCTGGTTCCCTTCACTTTGCCACACTTGATGGCCTCTGGCACTGCCGCAGCCCCACCAGCCCCGCCCGAGACATGCTCCCCACCCTTCACAAGCCAGCCAAGCATCTGCTAAAGACCGTCTATAATGAAGCCACATGCATACATGCCAGCACATGGCAGCTGCTGTTACATATCAGCTCCCTCCCCAAACCCCTGAAACAAACTAGTATTTGGACTTCGAGTGGAGTGCTTTGAAGACAAAGCGTCTTCAGAACTCCAGTTCATCTGTCAGGTAGAATCCCAAACATTAGGTTAGGCAGTGAAATGAGGGGTTTTTCGCAGGGTGACTCTGCATGTTACCCCTCAGCTCACAGGCAATAAGACCAGGCCTATAAGCCAAATCTATTTAGGTCGTGCCAACTCCTGCTGCACAGCACACGCCCCTCGTAGGGCATTACTGAAAGTCTCTCTGAAAGGGATTTCTAGAGCTCAGATCTTTGGCTCAGCTACAAAGAGTCCGAGAGCTGACTTTTCCATGACGTACTTGCAGGCCAGTTTGTTTAGAGTGCGTCACGAGAGACCAAGCAGAGAGCAGGATGCTGGGGCGGGGGTGCTGCAGCCAAGCCTGGGCGTTCGCTGGCTGAGGAGTGCCAAACTGGGAAAGGGGTCTTTCCCAGGTCATGGCTCAGAGCCAGGCGTCCTCCCATCCTGCCGCCGGCCACCTAGAGTGGAGCAGCCACGGCACTAAGACGTCTTGCCTCCTTCGCTCAGTGGACCGTCACTTAGACCAGCAATGTGGGCAAAGCCCTGCTCAGATTGTGGCCTCTCAGGCTGAACTCCAAGATGGACATCTCTCAAAGGCAACATTTGCTCAAGTGGCAGTTAGTGGCACTGCCAGGGAGGAATGAGAATCGCCTGGTGTCAGGAGCCTGGTTCCTCAGCAGGTAAACCCCCAAGTTCTCTGCACACAAGCTCCATGGGATCGGGGGCTGTCTGCACGTGGGCAAGCACAGAATGGTGTCTGTCCTGAGAAACCACAGCCCATCGCAGCTCAGCTGTCACCATTGACCGTGGGAGCGTGGAGCAGGAAGGCCATCAGCCACACGCCTCCCTCAGACAGAGCTGCACGCTGCGTGTCTTCACCTGGCCCTGATTTCTGAAGCCCATTTTATCCCAAGGGCTGAAGAGGCATGTGACCAGGCAGGGAGGCAAGTACAGCTGGGCCTTACTAATGGCAACCCAGGGTCCACGTGGAAGGACACCAGCCTCCCCCTTTGCTAATGGCTGACCCAATGGGGCCATCAGGAGCACAGAATTGGACATCAGCCTTCTAGAAAGTTAGCCTAAAACCTCAGAACAGATGTTTTTCCTCAATGAGCAACTCAACCTTTCTTGCTTACATGCATCTTAATGTGGTTTTAGAAGTGTGCAAACTTCTGCCCACATGACAAGTTATTAGTAAAAGTATGTTTAGAACATGATCTTACTTCTCCCCAAATTATGAA